GCTACTATGTCAGACGGAGTTTGTGCATTGCTCGATTCTGCCTTTGTAGGTCCAATGGCCGTTCTGGAGGAAGATGGTCAGATCCACAAATATAGCTTGACTTGCTGGTAGCCAACGGCACCTGTCTGAATGTCTCTCTTCAGGCATGCATGCCTTCAGCTCAGTGTTGAACCAGGGACACATGCAGTATGTCTTCTCAGATAGCCTAGTAGTCCTTTGAGGGTAGAAGAGAGAGTGAGTGAGCGGTCTCTGTACATGGGCCTGCTGTCTTGCAGTATAATTTGCCGCTCACCTGGTAGCAGCTACAGAGGTGTGCTAGCATAATACAGATACGTATTGCTGAGTGCATTGCTGATTTTGCAAGATGCAGGCATATGTTCAGTCCTCATCAGTAGTTTCACACTCTAGGTACCAGCTGCTCACGCTGCCTTTTTAATGAAGCAGCAGACTGCTTGTTTGATATGGAGCAGTTCATCGGGTGTAAACAACAATGGCAGCTAATTTTACTTGCACGTTATTGTGGGAGCTTCTACCTTCCACTACGGCTCTCAAGCATCTTAGAGCCCCAAGGTTCTCTTGCCTTCAGAAAATCCCTGCTCAGCTTGGACCGATCACACTCTCTCACCAACCCCTCAGGGTTGTCGTGAGGTAAAAGGAGGAAGAAAGAACCATGTACGCCGCCTTGAACACCTTGGAGGAGAGGTGAGATACAAATGCAATAAATAATAAATGTTGGCCAAGCCTCATGCCTGTGAAGTATTGGCAGAGGGGAACAGCAAGGTTTGCAGAGCAGCTCAGTGAAGAATCTTTGCACTGACTGACAATGGGTGGGGAATGGAAAAGGGGGCAGGAGGGTGAATGGAATATTGTGGAGGGGGGCATGTTTGGCTGACTGGAACAGGAGCACTGCACATTGTGACATTTTGTTGCAGGTCCCACTAGTTATGCTTATAAAACCCTTAAGAAAAGCAAGCAAGGCCCAATTCACACAATCCTTGAGTGAGCCACATCTTTTCTGTCTGCTCTGGCAGTCTGAATCCGTGTGGCTGTTGCTGGTACACACTGTTGCATCGCAAGCAGGGATTCAGGTGCCATTGCTTCAGTAAATAAATAAATCAAGCAAGCTCAATCCAGTTGAGGTTGGATAGGGAGGGCGAAGAAGCCTCTGCCCCCTTGCTGAATTTCAAAATCTTGAGCTGAAAAATACAGTGACCCTGCCTCCTTGTTTCTGATCCTTTTCACGTTGCTTTCCAATGGCGAGTTCTACAACTCCAGTTCACCACTGTATTCTTTTGCAGGAGAAACACCGATTCGGAATCTGAAAATGGCAAAAGTGCCTTGAGAGGGCCTTGCTTACTCATCACCGCTTTGACAATTACCACTGTGGGCAATGATAGAAAAATGTCAGCCCTGTTCTAGTAACATGCAGAGGGTTGGGTGTTCGTTGACAGGGGGCAATGTTGCTTAGGGTTGCCAGACGTATCTGGAATACTGTGGTCAGAAGCATTGCTAAAATGTCCTGCCAAAAGTGTGGCAACCCTAGTCTTGGTTCAATCTATGGCAGGGGTAGCGAACATGGTGCCCTGCAGCTGTTGTACTAAAACACCCACCATCTCTGATCATTGACCATGCTGGGTTGTTGAGAGTTGGAGTCCAATGACATTGGCACTGCACTGGGCACCCCTGGCATGGTCACTGTCATCCACATGGAGGGAAACTTGTTGTGTTAAAAAAAAAAAACCCATTACACTCGGCTCCAAGAGAATTAGCTAATAAAATGGCACACTCTGCTTAACAGATGGAAGCTCTGTTTCTGCAAAGTAATTTTTTTAATGACCACTTTTAACTGATGGGTAGTAGAAGGAAGAAAAACATTCTTTGTCATGTAGGCGAAACAAATGCTTTTGCTCTCTCCAGGCTTAACTTGTAAGTAGGAGTCTGAAGGACAGCTTGCTCTGATCTTATCGACACCCCTTATAAAAGACTTCCTTTTAATCCAACCAGGATAAATTCCATTGTTTTTGTTTACAGGAGGTTGGGCTTGATTTATTAAAATAGCTCCTGGCCTTAAGGATCCTCACTCCATGGAGTCAAGCTAAATTTGTACTCCTAGAATAGAGAACAGAAGGGACTAGAGGAGGCTGGCTGTGTCTGTCCTGAAACAAAGCCTCTAGAAACTCTATTGTCAGTGAAGGCAAAATGGGATTGAAAGCAATTCACTAATCAGTTGATTCAAGTCAGGTTAAGGCACGGTTATTTTAAAACTTGTTCATGCAGAGTAGTTAAAAAGTACAGCATACAATTCTCAGATTGGCCCTCCCAAGGATGAGCTGTGTCTTTAGCAACACAATTTCCCCCCCTTTTAAGTGTTTTTTCTTCTAAATTGCATAGTTGTCTCCCTGCTGTGTTACATATCTTTAAGGTATCTAACACAGATATATTTAAGGTATCTTAACACAGCAGGGAAAAGGGACGCGGGTGGCACTGTGGGTTAAACCACTGAGCCTAGGACTTGCTGATCAGAAGGTCGGCGGTTCGAATCCCTGCGACGGGGTGAGCTCCCATTGATTGGTCCCTGCTCCTGCCAACCTAGCAGTTCGAAAGCACGTCAAAGTGCAAGTAGATAAATAGGTACCGCTCTGGCGGGAAGGTAAACGGCGTTTCCATGCGCTGCTCTGGTTTGCCAGAAGCACTGCTTATGCCAAGTTAGACCATTGCTCCATTTAGCTCATTATTGCCCACACAGACAGGCAGCAGTTCTTTGTGGGCATACACTGGTCTGTCTCTCCCCTGGAGATACTGGGTATTATTGCTGTTATTTATTAAACTTATATACCACCTTTCATCCAAAGATCACAGGGCATTTTGCAGTATGAAGTTGTTGGACTTCAACTCCCAGAAGCCCCAACCAGGATGCTCAGTGGTCAAGGATGATGGAAATTTAGTCCAGAAACATCTGGAAAACTGATTGAACCAAGGACCTCCTGCTTACAGATAACATGCTCTACCACTAGATCTTGCTTCAGTGCTGGCAATGGGGTGGAGTCCTCTACACCTGAGGGTAGCAGGGTAGCTTAGGGGGCACCTGGGGTTGCTGGCTTAGGAGTCTGAAAATGGCTGTGGACTTCTGGAGGGATCAAGGGGCTGCTGCTGCCTTGAGGTGGCTGTCCTGTCCTACCCAATGGTAGGAGTGGCCCTGCTGAAAGAACACAAATCCTGATGAATCTGACCAAAGCTCCATGTAGACCAGCCTCTCCCACTAGCAGCTGAAAGCTTCTGGGAAGCCCATAAATAAGGGTTGCAGACCATAGTTGCTCCCCAATCAATTGGTGTTCAGTGACCATAGAACTGTAGAGTTGGAAGGGACCACAAGGATCATCTAGTCCAACACCCTGCGACACAGGAATCGTTTGCCCAAGGTGGGTCTTGAACCCACAACCCTGATATTAAGTTCTGTCTCTGAACCTAGAGGGTTATTTTTGTCATTGTTTATTAACTTCTACAAAAATAATAATCTCAAAGCTACTGATAAACCTCCCTGTTATTAAGTTGTCCAATCCTCCTTAGAAGCCATCTGAATTTGTAGCTTTCACCACACCCTGCGGCAGCAAAATCCGCAAACAGATGTTTCTTATATTTGTCCTGAATTTATTCTTTTAATTAGGTGGTAATACTGTTGCTGCCAGGTGCCAGTAGCAAACCTCCATCGAGGGCTGTTCATCCTGCTTTGCTTGTGTGCTTCCTAGGACAGCAGGGCTGGCCATTGCTGGCACACACAGTGCTGAGGTCAGAGATAGCCAACATGGTAGCCGGCAGACTACAACTCCTGTTCTCTCAGATTAATGGCCATGTTGGCTGGGGCTGATGGGAGTTGCAGTCCAGAGCATCTGTCTGGTACCACATTGACTATCCTTCAACTAGATAAACCCTTGGGTTGGTCCATCATAGGCTCTTTTCAAAGCAGTCTAGCATGGATGTAGTCATGCTTTATGTACGTTGAAGTCATTGGACTTGAGTACACGTAATTCTGTGCTGGACCATGGGCTATTTCTGTGCTCTTTATTTATCTTTTCCCATTTCCTTACATCCATCCCATTCTCTCCTCTCCCTGTCATCAACATTTACAACAGTCTTCCCCTAACCCAGTGCTCGCTAGATGTTGTTGGGCCACAGTTCCCATCATCCCTGTCTATTGACCATACTGGCTGGAGCTGATGAGAGTTGGAGTCCTAAACTCCTTGGGTCAGGGGCCTGCCCCTTTCTTATTTTGCATGGTGAATTGGCATGTACATTGATGTAAGCTGCAGAAATGAGCTATAATTACATTAATAGCCAGAGGTCTTCTTATGAGGGATACTGTACACAGTTCTGTGTTCCTATTTTGGACAGACTGCTGCCTACCACGACAATCACCTAGCACTACCTGTGATTGTGCGATTGTCAGCAGTCCATGCAAGACAGAGACTGAGATCTCTTTCCCGTTTGGGAGTTTCAAATGCTAAATAAACATATTGAATCCCTGAAAGTGCCAGGATTTTGCTTTGTTTTGCTTTTTTGTGCTGTTATATGACTTCCCCACCCCCCAAGTTTTGTAGGTCTCTTGAGAAAAATGTCTGGTTTTCATTCTGAGTCGTATTTAGCCTTTGCTGGTTTTTTTGAGGCAACTTGGTATGTTAACAATGCACTGAAACTACGAAGCCTGCAACTTTTGATTTGCTTAAAAGAATAGGACTGCTGTTGAGTCTGGCATTTTTACAGAAACATGCATCTACTCATGGTTTCTTTGTTTCTACAAGCCCATCGTTTGGGGAGATGTTGATGGGCTGAACACAACCTGCAGGTCTAAAATGTTGCCTGCCCCTTACTTTACTGTGGCCCTCAAGACATTGCTGGTGTTATAACACCCATTTCTCCTGACCATTAACCATGCTGGCGGGAGCTGATGGAAGTCGGAGTCTGAATAACATTAGGAGCACTACTGGATCCCCATTGTTGCATGTGGAAGGGCCATAGCTCAGTAGTAGGGCACATGCCCTGCATGCAGAAGGTTCCAGGTTCAATCCCTGGCATTTCCAGGTACGGCTGGGAGAGCCCCCTGGGGAGCAGGCACCCACCATGCTAACAGTACTGAGCTAGATAGACCCAGAGGTGTGATTTGGCACCAGGTTGCTTCTAGTGTTCCATGGTAGGAATGGAAGGTTGTAAGATGTCTTCTAGATCTACACCCTTGCCCTTCCATTGCTTATGCCTGGAAGATGTAACTGTGGAAGATTAACAGTTAAACCTAACATGTGCATATTCTTGCTAGCTAGCATAAGAAGGGGCAAATGCTACAGAGCTGTATTGCAAATAGGCAGATACTCAGACCATAGAAAAGCAGTTTGTAGAGTGGGTTCTGTGTTACGTCATTTCACCTCCTCTCCTGCAGGAAAGAGCATATAGTACTTCCTGTTCTTGTCTCTTCCTTTGAACAGCGTTGGATGCAAATATGCACCCGTTTGCTCCAGCTGTAGGCTATACTGTAAATATAAGTATTTTGCCTGCATAGTTTTTACTGCCGCTATTGCTGCAAACCAATGCACGATACAAAGTAAGGAAATTATTATATTTTTCAACTTAATTCATAGTTTATTGCTTGGTTTTTTTGTTAAGCAGGGTAAGAGAGAGAGTCAGCTTGCTTCATAGCTGGGATTTGTTAAGCATGGGATTTTGAAACTCTGCTTAACACACACATGTGGGCACCTGGACAGATAATTTGTGATTACAATATCCTCTCCCTCCCATTAAAACCCTTCCCACAGTAAGTCTTGGAGATGGGGCCTGCTGTAAGCAGTTTTCCTTGGTGTGAAGACCATGTCCTCCAGCCTGTTCTGGGGAGCCATGGGCTTCTCAGGAGGTTATTCTCCGTGAGAGAATGCTAATGGATAACTAGGGCCATCTATGCAGTCATCCTGTCCATTATAATGAGAGGCATTTTGCAAGTGACATCAATATAAGTGGGTTGCCCCTTTGAACCATTGTTCTAATGCTAGCTGTAATGGGCATCTACTGCTGCCCCCCTCTGCCCCCATTCTTGTCTATATCGCCTTTAGGCTGTTGACATTTTGCTAACCAGCTGGTTTTCCTGTCCTACTTTTAGCACTGGTGCAAACAGCTTATCACTGTGTGTTTTCTGCTAGGCCTGTCTCTTTTGTGTTTCTCCCTGTTAGCCAAGGATGACAAATGGAAGAAAAGGATAGCGTTGCACCCTGCTGCTATGCTACAATAGGTGTTGGACAGGGCTTCACATTCAAATTCCTGTAGGAGTGAGTCCTGTGCCAAGCTTGCTCTGGCCTTGGAAAAGGCAACTTCTTGTGGTAATTCATCAAGTTATTGGCAGAAAATAAAAATAGGTTGGTGTGTAAATGCAGAAAATCAGATTTCTATATAAAGCTTCAATTTTTAACTAATAAGGCGTGATTATATACATCTGCTAGATTAGAACAAAACCATTGTTGGTGCTGTTAAAAACAACAACATTCAAGCCTACTTAACTTTTTATTTTAACTGGAGTGGCTCTTATTTTAGCCTGCTTTGGTGAAAGCATAGCTAGCATGCTACAATTGTCAAGAGGTCATTATAGCTTTTGTTTCTAGCAATATTTAGCTTGGCTAACGCCTTCAATTAAAGCTTTCTGGCAATTTATGGCTGCTAAGCACTGAATTTCAGTGAGGCTCAAAGCAGCCGGCTGATGATGGTTTAGAGCTGTGTTTACTTGTTGCCATAGTTTTAATGGCGGACATGTGTACAGATGTAGCCTGTTAAGTGTATTTACAGATGGGCTTTTAGGGGGTAACCTACATAGCCCACTTTCCATTGTGTTGCTTGAGGAGGGCAGCCCACCCCCTATTTGACCTTGCTCAGCTTGTAGGCTCTGCACAGTAATATATAGCAGTATCCAAATTGATAATTATTTGGGGGAAGGGCGTTATTTGAAACTTGAAGACTATAATTTTATTTAAAAGATTAGAACCCTAAAGTTTATCCTCAGTTTAGATTATGCAGTTTAAACACTGTGCAGAATGCCTAGAACCCAAGTTACCCTGAGATAGTTTTTCCTGTCATTTGGAAGGAGAACTTACGAGTTAAGGTTGCTGTTGAAAATTTGACATTTCTCAATTCCACACCCCATCTCCTTTCTGGTAACACAGGAATGCAATTGTTCAGCTGTTATGTATTTTTCCTCTGCATACCAGGGAATTTCCATGCATGGAAACTTAGAATAGTTAAATATTGAGTCTCTCTGTGTGTTTGACTCTTAACAGTGAATCATGCTACTTGACCTTGCCATAATTCATAGTTATCCTTGAAATGTTAAATTGCCTCTTCCCTTTGACATGGTCTCAGAATAATTCCTTTTAGAATAGTAACTTCAGGGAGAGCTGCCTTAAAATAGAACAGTTGAATGCTCCTATCTTTCAAATATTACTTAATGACTTTTATAGTAAACTTCCAGATTTAGCTCTGGAGAGGCTTGTCGTGTGGGTGGGTCCTACACTTCTTGCAAAGCCGAAGTTGAAACTAGTTGCTTAGGGTTCCCATATTGAATGAGATCTCTTCCCCTGTGCTTTTCTCCCTTGCAAAGGCAACACAGTGTTCCAACTGGGTTTGATCTAAGGAAATGGAGTTTAAAGTGCTTGTTAGCTATCTGCCCCGTTTTGTGTTGCCTTGTTCTGGCTTTGATCTGCACGTGCTTCTTGCATGCAGCTCTAAAGATATTCCATGCAAAATCAAAAGTCAGATTTAGCTGATAACATTACTAGCCCAGGAATGAACTGTTAAAAAACGGTGTAACTGCACATTGTTTGCATAAGTTGCATATTACAGTGCAGTATTTGGGTTTTTGTTTTGCAGAGCTGAAAAGGTTTAGGGCAGGCAAAAGAAAGTACCGTATTTTTTGCTCTATAAGACTCACTTTTTCCCTCCTAAAAAGTAAGGAGATATGGGTGTGCGTCTTATGGAGCGAATGCAGGCTGCACAGCTAACCCAGAAGCCAGAACAGCAAGAGGGATTGCTGCTTTCACTGCGCAGCGATCCCTCTTGCTGTTCTGGCTTCTGAGATTCAGAATATTTTTTTCCCTTGTTTTCCTTCTCCAAAAACTAGGTGCGTCTTGTGGTCTGGTGTGTCTTATAGAGTGAAAAATACGGTACTTCATCACACAGTACATTTGCTCCCACAAGAAGTAAGTGATGGCTTTCAAGGAGGATTGGACAAATTAATGGAGGTCAAAGCTTTCAATGGCTACTAGTAATAATGGTTAAGTTCTACCTTCACTGATGGAGGCAGTATGGCTCTGAATACCATTGGCTGGGAATCACAAGTGTGGAGAGTTTTTCTGCTCTCATCTTCTGCTTATAGGCTTCCCATAGGTACCTGGTTGACTCATAACAGGGAATGTGCCTTGGTTCTGATCTAAGTAAGAGCAGCCCACATGAACCAGTGGTCAGGGTTGATGGGAAGTGTAGTCCAGAAACAGCTAGAGACCCAAGTTTGGGAAACACTGGACTAGATGATCCTTAGGATCTCTTCCAACCCTATGATTCTATTAACACAACCTCTCTTTTCATCCTTATGTGATCAGAGCTCAGCCAAGCTTCCCAAATTAGCCTCTCTTTTCAGCTTGCAAGGGATTTCAGATGTGGGTAACCCCAAAACCGCTGAAATGTTATCTATCTTTCTCAGATATGTTCTTTTTAATAATCTGTAATGATCAAGCAGAAAGCAAGAATGGAAAGAATGTGGTCTGTCTATGCTATGATTGCGGCGACCCTATCTTTGAAATGAATCGGGCCTTTTTGTCATAAGACACATGTCTGCAGAAGCGAGCAAGCCTGGCTGCAGACAGGAAATGGCCTAGTCTGTGACCTCGTCTCTCGGGGAAAATCAAAGCTCCTATTAATTCCCCTCCCCACCCCACCCCAAACCAAAGCAGATCTGCTCTCTTAGTTGAGAAATAAGTCAAATGAAATGCTTTGCTTCCCTCTTCCTAGGCTTATGCAAATATGAGGTGTGAACTGCATTTTGCAAACATGGAAACAATTTAAATCAATGTTCAGCCTAGGGAAGGAGGCAAAACAACATCTAAAAGTCCAAATTCTTGCTTTTGGATACTGTCCAGATTGATTGGAAAAAGCAGTCAGGTTTGAGGGGGGCAGTTGCACACAACCCAATAATTTTAGCAGTGTTATCCCTCCCAGATTGTCATCTCTGCTGCCCGCCTCTTTTCAATGAAAATAAAGAAAGGAATGTATGCCCTTTGGCATGCATATCTAGGACAAAGGTTCATTGCATAGATTATATAACAACAGCCAGCCAGTGTGTACAACTAGTGCTAGCTGCATTTAATGTAGTTTGGGTGGCACAGAAGCAAGTTGTTTTGATGCCATTTTTGGATCTGTTCCTGGGTGTGGGCTTCACAACGCTCCTAGAAGTTAGAAAGTTTCTTAAGGCATGCCATATATTTAAAGCACTTTCCCTACCCTCAAAGAATCCTGGGAATTGTAGTTTGTTAGGGGTTCTGGGAATTGCAATTCTTGAGAAATAAACTGCAGTTCCCCAAGCCATGTGTGGCGGACTCATGGTACTATCCCATGATTTTTGTACTGTATTTTATTTCTGCTTACACTTGATTGTAACAAAACCTCTTAAGTGGTTCAAAATAAATATTAAAATTATCAATAAATACAGTTAAAAACAAGTAATTAAAAACATTTAAAAGTGATTAAAATCAGCAGTAAACTGAAAAGAAATTTAAACATCTGGATAGGGTTATCTAAACAAAAATGTTTTAAGCAGGCACTCATGGAAAGGAATACAGTGAAGGCAAATTTTTCATATGCCAATTTAAACAAATAGATGCAAATTTAGATTTCGGTGCAAATTAGGAAGTGCGTGGCTGGTGCCTCACCAGTACATGCACAGCACAAACTTAAAAAAATACCCTAACATTTTTGAAAGAGGAGGGAAGGACAGGAGATCAAGGGCCAAAGACCCACAGTTTGTCTCCCTGCTCTCCCTCTAACAATCACCCCTTGC